GCTAGAAAGCCAATGGTTATGTCATTAATCAGAATCCGTGTAGTTTGCTTTAATGCATTGCTACTGACAATTTTGTTTTGGTACCTAATTGAGCATGGTATTTTGGTTTGAAACCATAATCTCCTACAACACTATAGTTAATATCGGATCATAAAACACTCACTCACACCCAAGAAGGGGCACCTAAAGCATGGACAAAAAATGTGGATTGCTCAATAACAACATCCTTTACCGCCTAGGGATAAAGATATATAGCATAGACAAATATAGGTGGCCCTAATAAAATATCTAGGATATATACTCTAGTACTAACATAGATTTGGATTTATAGTTTTTAGCTCAATCTCATAAAGCTAGCATGAAAGATGAGGATTGTCTATGTCATAAGATTACATTGGCCATATATCTGTAAGTCAGGCATCCGTTATTATTATTGTTTCCTTTCACATGGTTAATTTAATCAGCCTAATAATTGTATATATGCAGATTCCTATTTTAGTTTGTACAAATTAGGCATTAGAATAAATTGTCATTAAGAGCTATAGTTGAGAATATATTATTTATAGAAGAGTATACAATGAAAACAAGACAAGAAGTCAGAATTTTTGATATGGTATCAAAGTCTCATTCCTGTAGCCCATGCTCTCCTGAAACAAGCAAATGGTTGTTCTTCATTCAGGTGCGCACCAGCAGTACACGTTCTCGGCCTAAAGACTCATGATGGTTACAAGCAATGCAAAAGGTGCAAGCACTTCAAGTACACCTGTTTGTTATTAAACCCATTGTCTGCAAAAGGGTGTACCCTATGAAGCTGCATTCAGACTTCCTTTCAATATGAAGGATATTGGTTGTCTTCATTATTTCTTAGGTCTAGAGGTCCACACTTACTCCAAGGGTATCTTTTAATCAGCATCAGTACAGATTTAATTTCTATGGTTGTCCTTTAATATAAAGTTAAATACCATCATAATGAGGGTGAACTTTTACCTGATCTTTTGAAGTATCACCACTTGGTCATAGTCTTTTAACTATTTATATGCATTCCTCATAATCTTCACTTGGCTGCTATTGGTCACATTATTTGTTACATGAAAGGAACTTCTCAACTAAGGTAAGCTTTCTATCTAATCCATCTAGAATTGGATCTACTCTATCTATTTGATTTTCCACTTTTGTCTGGCTGACTGAATAAAGAAATGGAACCATAGCTAAGACTGATATATGAGCCTTCTCTCTCCTTGACCTGTTTAGTTTTAAGTTTATTTTTTCTTGCTAGTGTGTCCCTTTAATTGCCTACAATAATGCGGATTGGGCAGTCTGTCTAGATACAAGGAGGTCTATATGGTACATGTTTCTTGGTCCTACTTTGATTTCTTGGAAGACTAAACAGCAAGCTTGGGTCTCCAAGTCATCCAGAGTCTAAATATCAAGCTACATCCACAGCTTGTTTTGAGATTATTTGGATTTAGGTTTGCTGGCTAAATTTGGAACTCCTCAACGTAATGTCTCACCTCTCCATGTTGACAGCATTAGTGCAATTCAACTTGCTACTAATTCAATTTGTCATTAAGAGGTGTAATTGACAATGTATTATTTATAGAAGAATATACATGAAAGAAGTGCAAGAAGCAATTCCACTTCAATTCAAATATAGAATAAGATAAAATGATACTATCCTATGAGTTATCAGGTATGCATATAAGTGTGTATTAGGATGATATTGTTCTAAATTTTGTGCAACTCTAACTTGCTATCATATGTTATGGTATCTATCCACCAATTGGGCCCTGGAGGTTTCAAATTGAGTAGTTGTATTTAGAGTACATTCCACTATATTGACATAGAAAACACTATGTTTTAAGCCCATTCACAGCATGCCCTTCAGTATTTCCCATTTCTAAACATATCAATCATCAACAACAATTCAAATAGAAGGTTGTACGCATCCATAATGTCAACCACAACATGTAGACTGTTAGGGTATATGGGGAAGGAGAACTTAGGAAGATAGTTAGTATATTAATGAGTTAGTTAATTGCATAAGGTGTTGTTTAGATATAAATAGGGTGTGAAGGATAAGAGAAGGGTGTGGATATTCTTTGTAAATTGAGCATTAGCTCTTTGTAAAAGGAGAAATCTTTTGTGAAGGGGAAACCCTTGGAGGAGAGTCTTCTCCTATTTCTTGTTCTTTTCTTTCTATTCAATAAAGAAACTTTCTTTTCTTTTTCTGTTTAATTCTTGGTTCCTAACAATTGATCCGACCTACCGGATCCGAAAAAGGTAAAATCATGGAAGGAAGAATTGCTGCCTTGGAAGAATGGGTCAGCAAGCATGGGAAGACCCTCTCGGAAATGCAAGATAATTTTCAAGAAATCAAAGACTTATTGAAACACTTCAAGGAAAAAGAAAGAAGCTCAAAGAAAGGTGACAATTCTATAAATGGGGGAAGAAGAGGGGAAAGGAAGGTGATTAGTGAGGAATCTGATTCAGATGGTGGGGACGAAGAGGTGTAGCTTCACTAGATGAATAGGGTGGAGCTGCCAACTTTTGAAGAAAGCGATCCAATCGGTTGGATTGCTAGGGCTGGAAAATTCTTTAAGGTACATGAAATAGATTCTTTTGATAAGTTGCAATATGCATTCATGAGCATGGAGGGTGTGACAATGCGTTGATTCTATTATTGGTGCCAAGATAACTCTGATTTAGATTGGAAATCTTTTTCAACAACTTTGATAAAAAGGTTCAAAGATATCTATGACAGCCACATCTTTGAAAGATTGATTACCATGAAGCAAGAAGAGCAAATTGAGATTAAAACATGTAGCAAAATAATGGAGACTTCCACAGTAGTGTATGAATAGGGTGATCCACATCTGGTTGAGCAAGAAAAAAATAGCATGGAGGAAAGCAGGTCAAAATGCATTGCAGCAGAGATTAGTTCTTGAACAAGAAAGATGGAACTACCCATATTTGCTAGAAGCATAGAAGGGGAATCTGATTCCCAGGGTGGCAGTTTTGAGAGTGATGATGATCCTTTTCTATTCTTGAAATCAGAAAATAGAAGTAAAGAAGAAGATTCAATAATCAAGTATCACACCCTTGATAGTGAAGAAGAAACAAAAAATGAAGAGAATTTAGCAAGATAAGTAAAGATTATGTCATCAATAAAGACTGTGATCAAGTATCACACCCTTGATAATGGAGAAGAAACAAAAAATGAAGAGAATTTAGCAAGAGAAGCAAAGATTATGTCATCAATAAAGACTGTGAAGATGATGGATTTTCATATTAAGAATCATAAATCATTGTTGGACCCAAATCTGATAGTGAAGGTGGTTGGAACAACAATGGCATTAGAATTTGGGAATTTTAATTTTCTTGGTGATCCTTTAACATTAGATTTCATTGCTTCCCTGGATTACAACTTGCCAATGGAGTCAATGCAGAAGGAAGGTTTGAAGGCTGTTATAAAAAATCCACTCTCATTTCCACCACCACCCAAGCCACCTGATCTGAATTTGAATGCATTGCCATTGGTTCTCATTCCTATACCAAACAAAGACATCACATGCAAACAAGAAGGTAAATGAAGATCATGGTAATAAGAATGAGCAATGGGATCAAGTTTCTTCTATACAACCTTGAGGACAAGGTTGATTTTTAGGCGGGGTGTATTGTTAGGGAATAAGGGGAAGGAGTTAGGAAGATAGTTAGCATATTAATAAGTTAGTTAATTGCATAAGGGGTTGTTTAGGGTTGTTTAGATATATACAGGGTGTGAAGAATAGGAGAAGGGTGTGAATATTCTTTGTAAATTGAGCATTAGCTCTTTGTAAAAGGAGAAATCCTTTGTGAAGGGGAATCCTTGGAGGAGAGTCTTCTTCTATTTCTTGTTCTTTTCATTCTATTCAATAAAGAAACTTTCTTTTCTTTTTCTGTTTAATTCTTGGTTCCTAACATAGACACCATAGTCTTTGTATATTATATATTTCATTCAAAATGCTTAAAAAGGTTTAATGAATTATTTTGACAGAACTTTCAGGGTCATGTATAGTGGTGAGCAATTGATATATGATAAAGTTATTCTATAGTAATTCATGATATGTCTGGTAAACCAAAACCCATCTCAAAAAGAAGACTATATTTTTCAAATAATGTACTAAATACATAACAGTTAACATACCCCAATTTCTGTCAAAAATTGGCATGAGGAACATCTAACTTGTGAAGCACCATATGGGTACATTAGCAAAACTGCACAACTGCCACACTTAACTTGCCCAACCTGATCAGCTGTAATGAAGGAATGGGTTATTGATTTAAATAGCTTACCACACAAAAAACCAATGTCGTATGCCATATTTGACAAGGAATTAAGTAAGGCAACTTCAACATAATAGAATACAGTTTCATAAGTGAAAACTAAAAACATCAACATTTGAAGGATTTGATGCAAGTACAGATCACCATTCATGAAGATTTACTGTAATACAACACAACCATACCAAAAACTCAAGTTGAAAACTTGGATCATGATACCATCATCGTATCTAAATGTGATTGGTCATTGGTGTTGGGCTAGCAAATAAAGATCAGTTTTTTTTTTTAAGAAAAATATAATAATTTTTAAAAAATTCAAAAGATTATTTACACAAGCTTAGAACACACAACTAAATATAATGGGTGTTGGATCAAGCGTGAACTTGCTCATGAAAACCTGTTTAAAAAGAGCTTTGCCCAAACTTATTTGGATTTATCTTACCATATAAGCACATAATTAGAACACTGAAGGTGTTTGGTTAAGATTATGAAATGATTTATTACCCTCCTATATGCTCTTTAACTTATTTCAACATAAACTTCATACTGAAGCTTATTAATAAGCATACTGAATCAAGTACTTGACATTGACACACAAGCTTACATCTAATTCTCATGTGATAAGATTTTGTGGAACTAACACTTAAATAAATTGTTAACCCAAATGGGCCCTTAATCAATCAAATCCATAATCCAACATGAAATTCAAAATTGAGACTTGGAGCAGAGGTACGCTCCAGTGAGATGGTAGGAATGCAAATGAGAGATAAACAACCTTCTAATACAATGTTGACAGTCTGACAGCATGAACATTTAACATATTTGGCACCACGTGGATATGAAAGCAGGCGATGACAAGAACCGCAAACCATCTGACCCCAACCTGTTCGCACGGCTTGTCAGTCAGAGTGATCAAGTTACTACACAATTTCATGCAATGGTTATCAAAAACCAAAAAAGAAAAATAAAGGACTCTTTCAGAATATCTCAAATACAATGCAACAACAAACAACCACTTCCTTTAACCCTTTCAGACTTCAAGCTACAAAGTTTGCAATATCGCATTCAAAACCCTTTCTGCATCTGTTCATTCAGAAACCATCTACCTAGAGTCAAATTAACCTGAATCGGAAGCAATTACTTTGATTAAAAGAAAACCCTAACTCAACAACACTCGTGCCTCACTATCCTCATAGAAAATGAAAAGAAGAATAATAATTTTAAGAAGACTAATGCATGTAATATGTTTAATTGTGCACTTGCTGATTCAAAAAGCGTGTAGTAAAGGGTTTTGAAACAGGCAAAGAATATAAATAAAAATAATAGAGAAGGTGAATGAAGGGTTTCTAAAAGAAAAGTATGAACTGCCCACATGGACGTGGCAATGGCGGTTGCGATTGCGGTGGCTGTGGAGGTGGGTGAGTGGGGATTGGTTGCCACCCCGGTGGTGGGCCTTCATCGTCTTCTTCTTTCTCTGTTGGTTGATTTTGCATCTTCCCCGGTTCACTGCCTAGTTCAACAACCATCCCCTTTCCCACACAACACTTTCTTATTCACGTCGATCACTTGGATTATGATTTATGAAATATTTAGATGCAAAATTGAACCTCTTTTCAATCAGCAGAAAAGTTAATATAAGACCACGAAATTTTTTTTTTGAATAATTTAGTCTAGAATTTTAAAAGTGTGTCCTTTTTTTTTATTCAGGAAAAATTAATTTTAAAGTAAATTTTTAGATTGAGATTTAAGGTTGTTGTTTTTTTTTATAGAGTTGATGTTTTAATAAGAAATTCAACTAAAACAAACCGTTAACTATGCAGATTTGCATCTATTAATAAAAGAAAAATACGATTAATCTTAATCATCATTATTTATTATGAAATAAGATTTAAGATAAATACAAAAAACATTCAAAAAATTTTATATTTTATTAAATTAAATATTATATTTATAAACTAAAAAAATGTAACTAAACACTAGCTTAAAAATTATAAACATTTAATCATATAAATAATAATAAAAATTAAAAACTAATTCATAATTTTATTATTTATTTTATTTGTAATCACTACTATACAATTACACAATATTATATAATATAAATATATAAGTGTTTTTATATAATTCTAATCATCTTATGAAATTATATTTAAGATAATTATTTATTATTTTTATGAACAAAAGTAAATATGTTTATTATATGAAAAATTAAGTATAAAAACAAATGAAATTTATTTTATACGATAAATAATTATTTGAATATATAAGATAATAACCTATTGATTTATAAAACAATATATATAATATTTTTTATTCTAAAATTTAAATGTTTATTTGTTAATCTGATACATTTAATTTTAAGTGATATGTAAATTATAAAAAAAAATATAAATGATTACTTTATGTACTTTATTTATCACGATAGAAAAAAATTATTATTTTTTTTTAAGTTGCAAATTGATGTAAGAAACCTTATTTTTAATTTTGTAATAGACGAAATAAATCTTTAAACACTAAAAATAAGACTTTTTTGTTTATTGTTTAAAAAAAACAGTTTTCAGTTTTTTAATTTTAACAATTACAAAAATTGTTTGATAATTATTTTATTAGAATAGTTTTGAATTTTTTTTTGTTTTTAAATTTTAAAAACTAAAAAAAAATCAAAACTTATAAAATGTGTTTTTTTTTCTAGTTTCTTATTTTTATTAATGGGTATTAAATTTTTATAAAATAATTACATGATTCATTTTTCAACTTTTTTCCATGACCGGTGAATAATATCATATTATATTCTTTTGCTTAAAATAAATTTGAAAAATAAAATTATTAAACAAGTTTATTTTCAACTTATTTTAAAAATATTTTTTAAAATTAATCTCTAAGATTGTTTTTAAAATTAAGAGACAAAATTCAATCAAACAAATTAATAGTTTATAATATGTTTTATTTACTATTTATAACTGATAGAGATAAAATTATGAATGTATCAAAAGAAAAGAATTGAGAAAGGAAAAAAAAAGTATTAAAAGACCATGTTGATAAATTTGAGGTACGGATAAATTGAGAATCGATAGTAATTGATATTGAGAAAAACAAAAATCATTTAATATGATGTGTTGAATTAAAAGAGCTAAAGGTAAATGAGTGGATAAATTAGGAAAATACTTAAAAAGATGGAAATTACTAAGGAAAGTATCGAAGAATATATATATATATATATATATATATATATATATATATATATATATATATATATATATATATATATATATATATTTTTTTTTTTTTTTTTTTTTTTTTTGAAAGATAAAATATTACAAAGAGATTGAAAGTGTAGAAGATATATCGAGATTCGTGGGACATAATGATAAAAAAACAGGATATCAATAAAAAATTATAATATTAAGGGATATACGAAGACATTTATTATATAATTATGATTACACATGTATTAATAAGAAGAAAGTGGTTAGAAGAAAGAGAAGACAGTCTTTAATAAAATAACAACTAATGAATCTTTTTATTTGAATATATTTTATTTGTAATTTTTATTTGACTGAGACAATTTTAGAAAAATATAAATAGGAGAAATAAATGTAAGAAAGGTAATTGTCAAATTGTATGAAGAAACTTATATTCTTAAAAACATGGAACAAACATTTCTAATGAAATTCTTTACAATTTGGATTGTCATCTTAGTTGATTTTATTTATCAATTTCTGTTTTATCTTTGGTAATGTATTAGATTTATCTTTCAACAATTTATTTTTATTGTTCTTTACTACTTGTATAATTTACTTTAAACGTTTCAAATCATATTGGAAATAAAAATTATATATAACAAATCTTTAGTTAAAATATATTGTGTGCTAAATATTGAGCGAATATTGTAAAGATGAACATGCATGATGTTTAAGTGATTTATTTCGTACAAAGATATAATTTTAATTAAATCAAACAATGAATCATTTACATTAAAAATAATAATATATCTTATTTGTTGTATAGAAAACAAAAATATACAATGATATGATAACTTAAACAATTAAGAAAAAAAACATAAATGTATTATTGTTGTATTTGAAGGAAAAATTTCAATTATGTGTATTACTGTTTTGTAACCTTAATGAATTTTTCTAACATGTCACAAATAAATATATATATATATATATATATATATATATATATTCATCATCAAATAAAAAGGTAAGAAAAAGACTTAGGTCATTAAATTTTTTTTGAAACATAATCATTCTTATATAGACTAAAAAAGTTTTTAATGGATGTTAAGAAAGTGAAATGCCATCAACACCTTTACTTGATGAGCAAGATAAATAAAAGATATCAATGTTATATATGGAAAAACAAAAAAAAATATATTAAAAAAAACATGGAAGAAAAAATATATATATCCTTTAAACTCTTATACTAGTCCAAATTATATGTTTGATATTATATAAATGTGATGTATATTGAAAAAATGTTTGTGATATTATAATTATTATGCTTTAAAACATTAAGAAAAAAATATAAGATCCTCCAAATGCTCAAATATATAATAAATCACACACTAATTATATATATATATATATATATATATATATATATATATATATATATATATCATTGGAGGTGTCAAAGTATATTATGAATATTTTTTTAAAATATTAATAGTTTTTGTGTTAAGAGAATAATATCTCAATCTCATTTACTTAAAATCTTATGATTATTAATGTTCTCATGTAACAATTTTTCCTTGTGAATATTGATATTTTATAAAAAAATCTCAAAAATTATTATTAGTTTTTATATATTATTCAATGGTATTTGTTATGAAATAAATGTTGAACATTCAAGGACTTGATGTTGCAAATAATGATCATGAAGAATGTTGATTTTGATGATGATCCAAGAGCTTAAAGACTTAGAGTATTGAAGATTGAAGATTGATGATTTCTGTATTGTAATAACTCTGTTTTAGTTTGATTGAGTTTGTAATTATAGAATCTAAGATAGCCGGTACATAGTCTGTAACTTAGAAGCTTCAAAAAGCCCAAATATATCATCCAGGCTCGACTTTAATCGATTATATAGGGAAATAATCGATTAAAACAGTGAGAAAACCATTTTCAGTATATACTCACTGTTTTAATCGATTAAAACATCAAAATAATCGATTATTAGGTCAAATAATCGATTAAAACGTCAAATAATCGATTAAAACAGAGAGGTTTTGGGTTCTGTTTTTTTGGCTCTGTTTTAATCGATTATAACTCCATTTAATCGATTATTTCAGTCTGTTTTTGATTTTAAACTTCAAATTAACCCTATTTTCGAAAACCCAATTACCAAGAACCCTAGTTTCGAAATCCCCAATTTCTAAACCCTAATTTCCCTACTTAAACTCTCCTTTGGCACTCAGAATGAAGAACAACCTTTTCCATACAAAAGTTAAGTGCTGTGAGTGCCAGAGAACTGTTTGTTGCAAGGAAAGGGGGCTTTCTGAACCTGGTGTGGGCTAGAAGCGATAAGAATCACTAAGTGGATTTCTTAGTGGATTGTGTGTTGTGCCGTCTCTGGGGAAAGCTGTTCTTCAGGGCTTTCTGAACCTGGTGTGGGCTAGAAGCGATAAGAATCACTAAGTGGAGTTCTTAGTGGATTGTGTGCTGTGCCGTCTCTGGGGAAAGTTGTTCTTCATCTCTTGTGGGTTTCAAGAGAGGTGTTATCTTTAACTTTATCTTTTCCATTGTAATTTGTTTTATAATAATTTGTTTATAGTGACAGCGTTAATCCTCTGTTTGAGTGATTAGCAACTGGACGTAGGGTCTTTTGATCCGAACCAGTATAAATCTCCTGTGTAAGATTCTCTATCTTTCTCTATTTACATTTACACAGTTTTTAATCGGTAAAATTTGGGGAAAATTTTGAAAACCTAATTTTTATTAAGAAACCAATTCACCCCCCCTCTTGGTTTTTGTCCGACCACGCAAACATTCCGCTGCGCGATTCTAACAAGTGGTATCAGAGCTTGCTTTGATAGTCATTCAAATTTTCGAAAATGGCCGGACAAAATCAAATTTTTGCCGAAGGTGCGTCTATCAACAGACCCCCACTTTTTGCGGGTCAAAATTATCCTTTCTGGAAGGTACGTATGCAAATTTTTCTAGAGTCTATTGATAGAGGCGTCTGGGACGCTATTTTAAACGGTCCATTTGTTCCTAAAACTACTGAGAACGGTATTGACGTTCTTAAACCTTTTTCAAGATGTACTGCAGAAGAAAATAGGAAAGCCCAATTTGACGTTAGGGCTAGAAATATTATTTCATCTGCTCTAACCCTTGACGAGTTTTATAGAATTTCAGTTTGTAAAAGTGCACAGGAAATGTGGGAAATGCTAAGGGTGACCCACGAAGGAACTGACGACGTCAAAAGAGCACGTAAAAATTCTCTAATATAAGAATACGAGATATTCCGGATGCAACCAGGCGAAACGATATTTGACGTACAAAAACGTTTCACTCATATC